GCTTGCGGGACGCTTAGTCACACACAGTCTCGCTGCTTCGCCCGTCTGAGCGACGCCTGGCCTACCGAGTTTGACGACGAGGCTGAGCTCCCCGACTGGGTGGAGCTGCTTGGGCAGAGGGTAGATATATTTGCTCTTGACTATGATGCTATTCTCAGTGCCATGTATGCATTGCCTACTAGTGCTGACCGTGCCTGCTACCTGTGCGTACCGCCTGACCCAGGTATAGAGCCTGCTGCTCTCGGTGCTGGTGAGGCTGCTGATCTAGGTGTTCGTACGTCGCCTGCTCTAGGTGCTGGTGAGGCTGCTGCTCTAGGTGCTAGTGCATCTCCTGCTCTGGGTGCTGGTGAGGCATCTGCTCCAGGTGCTGGTGAGTCCGCTTTCTCTGGTACTGCACCTGCTAAGGCCTTGTACACCTTCACACTTGACTCTGGTGCTTCTTGCTCCTTCTTTCGCGACAGCACCACCCTCACGCCGCTCAGTCGGCCGGTTGCAGTCTCCCTGGCAGACCCCTCTGGGGGTCCAGTCCGTGCGACCTCCACCACTGTCCTCCCTTGTCCTGCTGTCCCGTCTGGCACACTGTCGGGTCTTTACCTCCCCTCGTTCTCTACGAACTTGGTGGCGGGTTCTGCGCTCCAGGACGCGGGTGTTCACCAGTTCACCCCTGCCTACGAGCGTATGACACACTGCACGTGTGCTCAGACGGGTTGTCACCTGGCTACCTTCACTCGACATCCGGGGTCGGGCGTGTACACACTGACCACTGAGTCCCCTCAGGTAGCTGCGTCTGCGTCAGGTCAGCTGTCGACCCCCTGCTCGTGTCGCGCCTTGTCGCATTAGACCCTCCTTTGGCACCACCGCCTTGGTCACCCCTCGGTGCAGCGTCTTCGCAGCATGCACCGCCGTGTCCTTGTCTCTGGTCTTCCCAGGGTTCTCCCTCCCCTCCCACCCTCGCCTGCTCCTCCCTGTCTTCCCTGTGTCGAGGGGCGGCAGCGCGCCACTTCTCACTCCTCCTCGTTCCCTCCCACAGAGGCTCCACTGCAGACTCTCCACCTAGACGTGTGGGGCCCAGCCCGCGTCCGTGGACCGGGCCACGAGCGGTACTTCCAGTCGGACTTTCCTGTCCTGCGTCTGCACTCTGAGAGAGGTGGTGAGTTCTCCTAAGACCTCTTGGTAGCCCTCTGTGCGGAGCACGGCATCCGCCAGACGTTCACGCTTCCGGCCTCTCCGCAGCATAATGGGGTTGCTGAGCGCCGCATTGGCTTAGTCATGGAGGTCGCTGCGCCCATGTCTCCTGCCACAACTTCGATGTGAATTTCGGATCTCGATCGCTGATGATCGCCGAAGGTAGTCCGTGTAGGCGTACGACGGTGGAGATGAAGAGTTTTGTGGTATCTTCGGCTGTGATCGTCATGCGGCATGGTGCGAAATGCGCCATTTTCGTTAATCGGTCAACGAAGACCAACACCTAGTCGTTGCCACTCGCGCCAGCTGGGAACCCCGTGACGAAATCCATCGTCACCTGTTGCCACGGTCGTTCGGGTGGCTCGAGGGGCTGTAGCAATCCGGCCGGCCTTTGTCGCGACAGGTCGGGCATGTTGTCAGGTTGTGCTACACGTTGGTCAGAATGTCAGGCCAATAGTAGTTCCGCTGCAGCAGCTTGAGTTTTTGTCGATGCCGAAATGCCCGGAAATGTTGGAGTCGTGAACCTCCTGCGTCAGCAACTCCCGTAAAGGCTGGTAGGCGGGTACCTAAATCTGCTTCCCACCGGCTTTTTGGTAATACTTGCCGTGTTGCGTAGTAGCCCATTGGTGAAGATTCTTGAAAAACCTGTCAATCTTGTAGCCGTGGGTAAATAGTCCTGTCAACATCAGGTTGGTGTGGGCGATTAGCACTGCTGCTGTCTGCATGGAAGGGCGGGTCAGAGCGTCAGCGATGTTGTTGGCGCCCTTCTTGTACGTGATGGTGTGTCGAAAGTTGGACTCGAGGTTGTCCAACCACCGGATTTGTCGCGGGTTGAGTGTCGGTTGCGTGCGCATGTACTGTAATAATTTGTGGTCGGTTCGAATCGTCACGACGGCTCCCGTCAAATAGCAGCGCCATGCACAAAATGCGTGGACTATAGCCAGCATCTCTTTGTCGTGGACTGGGTAGTTGAGCTTGGGTGGCTGCATCTTGCGTGATTCGTAGGCGATGAGTTGCAGCCCTTTGCCGAAGTCCTGTAGCAGGACGGTGCCAACTGCGAAATAGATGGCGTCCGGGATGACTTCGAACGGTCGAGATGGGTCGGCGAGGCGGAGGACCAGGGGTGAACTCAAAATGTTTCTGAGTGTGTCGAAGGCGGACAGCTCTCTCTCCCCCCACTGAAAATTGTTGTCCTTGTGCAGGAGGTCGGTTAGTGGCTTGGTAATCCCTGCCATGCTGGGTACAAAACGTCGAACGTAGTTAACATATCCAAAAAAACGTTGCAACTCGGTAATGTTAGTTGGCCGCTTCCACTAAGCGATAGCATCCACAATGTGGGGGTCGATTTTAATTCCGTCTTCCCAGAAACTCCAACTCCGGTTTTAGGAACTCGCACTTAGACCCCTTCGTGTTGAGCCGGTTCCCCTGTAAGCGCCAGAATGCCTCCTCCAAATCCCGCAAATGTTCTTCTTTCGTCTTGCTGTACACCAGGATGTCGTCGAGATACACGATGACCTTTTTGTCCAGCATGTCCCCGAAGATCCCGTTCATAGTCAGCTGGAACGTCGAGGGCGCGTTGGTCAGTCCTAACGGCATCACTGTATATTCATAACTGCCGTAGCGTGTGCGAAAAACTGTCTTCGGGTAGTCATCGGCTAACACGCAAATCTGGTGGTAGCCTCCTCGCAAACCGATCTTCGAGAAGAAGCGAGCCCCGCGAAGCTGATCCAGCAGGTCATCCTAACGGGATCGGGTAACACAATTTGATTGTGACCCTATTCAGCGCTCGATAATCGATAAACATGCGTAGGCCCCCGTCCTTCTTCGGCGTGGACAGTATGTGTTGTATGCACGTCAGTATGCGTGTATGTCCTCCTAACGTCCTGCCGTGTGCTCGTGCAATTCATGCTTGCGTCATTTGCACGAACATAAATCATTATGCATGGCTGTTGGATTTTATCACCTCTGTATTTTTTTCTCCAAGTCTAAATGCTTGATCGCGCAGGAGAAATCCAGAGCTTTCCAACGATACCAAGATCGCCTTATTCCGACCAAGATCGCCCAAGTTACAAGATTTCCAAGATTTACGAATTCTGTCTTGGTTTGGGAAATTATCTAAATTGGGCGATTATTCGGACATGACTATAAAGGGATCTTTGGTTGGGTGGTTAGGAAGGCAACTTTGACTTTTGTATTGGGGTGGTTAGATTTTTCTAGCATGGATTGCAAATGTTGCAACACCTAGGCAAAATCCAATTGGATTGGAGTTTGCATGTGACACCTCAAGGACCTCATCATGAGGGTTGCATCTTTGACGCTAGGAAGGTTCCCACCATCCTTCCCAAGTATTTGGAGAGCCTTCCCTCACAAGGTGTTAGAATCCTAGAGTGTAGTAGGCTTAGCAGCCATAGTTTAGGTGCCTTAGTAGCTTAGGTTTTAGGGTGTAAGGAAAAATGTCGAGAAAGTTGAAAGGAGAGAATGAGATTCACTAGCAAGGGTTGGGATACAAGTACAACACTCTAAATTGGGTTGTACTCATTACAGAGTACCCCACTGCAGGCTAGACAGCAAATACATTCTGACACACCCCCATAGCCAAAGTGGGGTGTAATCAGCACAATGAGCAAGCATAGAGCAAGAGTTCACAATAGGTAAGTAAGGCTAGAGCTAATCACAGAAGGCAAGTGAGGAGGAGGAGAGACAGTGGAGGAGAGAAGATGGGAGGCGATTGCTGACACTGCAGACACACAGACGAGCTGCTAGCTCAGTGGCTACCGGAACAGCGCTCCGGACTACTGGAGTAACTGGCCCCGCGGCTAAAAGTAGCGGCAGACGAGCAACGGACCCACGGGCGACTGGCGACTACCGGAGATTGTAGCCTCCGGACTGCTGCTGCTGGTGACGACAAGACTGCTGCCTCCACTCAACCTCCCCCAGCTGCCCAACGCCCCTCTCACACACTCCCTGCTCAAACCCTAGCCCTACACTCACAGCACCCCCTTAAACCCTAAACCCCAGACTCCCACACATCCACCCCCCCTCAGCGAGAGCTGCAGCAGTGGGAGACGAAGGAGGAGGAGGAGGAGGGGACGGCACGCACAACCGACACCCCCACAACCAGCACCCCCACACCCACCCCCCCACGGCTGCACCGGGTCCAGGAGTGGCTGCTGCAGGGGCCAGGGGCGGCTGCTGCAGCGGCGGTCGCTCCAGGGGCTGCTGCTGTTGGGGCGGCTGCTCCAGGGGCTGCTGCTGGGGCGGCTGCTCCAGGTGCTGCTGCTGCTGGGGCGGCTGCTCCAGGGGCTGCTGCTGCTGGGGCGGCTGCTCCAGGGGCTGCTGCTGCTGAGGCGGCTGCTCCAGGGGCTGCTACTGCTGGGGCGGCTGCTCCAGGGGCAGCTGTTGCTGGGGCGGCTGCTCCAGGGGCTGCTGCTTCAGTGGCGGCTACTCCAGGGGCTGCTGCTGCTGGGGCGGCTGCTCCAGGGGCTGCTGCTTCTGGGGCGGCTGCTGCAGTGGCGGCGGCTCTAGGGGCTGCTGCTGGCTCAGTGGCTACCGGAACAGCGCTCCGGACTACTGGAGTAACTGGCCCCGCGGCTAAAAGTAGCGGCAGACGAGCAACGGACCCACGGGCGACTGGCGACTACCGGAGATTGTAGCCTCCGGACTGCTGCTGCTGGTGACGACAAGACTGCTGCCTCCACTCAACCTCCCCTAGCTGCCCAACGCCCCTCTCACACACTCCCTGCTCAAACCCTAGCCCTACACTCACAGCACCCCCTTAAACCCTAAACCCCAGACTCCCACACATCCACCCCCCCTCAGCGAGAGCTGCAGCAGTGGGAGACGAAGGAGGAGGAGGAGGAGGGGACGGCACGCACAACCGACACCCCCACAACCAGCACCCCCACACCCACCCCCCCACGGCTGCACCGGGTCCAGGAGTGGCTGCTGCAGGGGCCAGGGGCGGCTGCTGCAGCGGCGGTCGCTCCAGGGGCTGCTGCTGTTGGGGCGGCTGCTCCAGGGGCTGCTGCTGGGGCGGCTGCTCTAGGTGCTGCTGCTGCTGGGGTGGCTGCTCCAGGGGCTGCTGCTGCTGGGGCGGCTGCTCGAGGGGCTGCTGCTGCTGAGGCGGCTGCTCCAGGGGCTGCTGCTGCTGGGGCGGCTGCTCCAGGGGCTGCTGTTGTTGGGGCGGCTGCTCCAGGGGCTGCTGCTTCAGTGGCGGCTACTCCAGGGGCTGCTGCTCTAGGGGCTGCTGCTTCTGGGGCGGCTGCTGCAGTGGCGGCGGCTCTAGGGGCTGCTTCTGCTGAGGCGGCTGCTCCAGGGGCTGCTGCTGCTGGGGCGGCTGCTCCAGGGGCTGTTTCTGCTGGGGCGGCTGCTCCAGGGGCTGCTGCTGCTGGGGCGGCTGCTCCAGGGGCGGCGGCTCCAGGAGCGGCTGCTGCAGCGGCGGCGGCTCCAGGGGCGGCTGCTGCAGCGGCGGCTGCTCCAGGGGCGGCTGCTGCTGGGGCGGCTGCTGCAGAGCTCCCTAGAGCGCCTCGACGGGCGACGGGAGGGGACCGCGCGCGGGCCCCCAAGACGCCTCGACGAGGCGACGGGAGGGGCCGGCTCGCGGGCCCCGAAAGCGCCGCGACGAGGCGACGGGAGAGGCCTGCGTGCGGGCCCCCAAAACGCCGCGACGAGGCGACGCTCGGGGCCGGTGCGCAGGCCCCCAAGACGCCGCGACGAGAGAGGAACCCGCCACGCGCTTCGGGGCGCACGGCGGGCAGAAAATTGCCACGCGCTCGGGGCGCGTGGCGGGAAGAAAAATAGGAGGGCGCGCGACACACAGTAGGGCAGCGGAAGCAAGTGGGCCCACAGGCCAGGAGCGTTAAGCTCTTATAACATGTTAGAATCCTAGAGTGTAGTGGGCTTAGCAGCCATAGTTTAGGTGCCTTAGTAGCTTAGGTTTTAGGGTGTAAAGAAAAATGTCGAGAAAGTTGAAAGGAGATAATGAGATTCACTAGCAAGGGTTGGGATACAAGTACAACACCCTAAATTAGGTTATACTCATTACAGAGTACCCCACTGCAGGCTAGACAGCAAATACATTCTGACACAAGGTTCTCTTGAAACCCCCCAACTCCTTATTCTATGCCTAATGTTTGTTCTTCCTCCATCCATTCTAGTGAAAAGAGCAGCTATACGTTTTCAGCTCGTTCTCACTCCCTAGACGATGAAATCAAGCGATTCAACTTGCAAATGGTAGCTAAGAACAGCGCGCACGACCGAGCAGAATTGCGTTTAGTTAAGATTTGAGTTCATCGTAAGTCTTCAAAGTGACCGGATCCTAGGCAACAAGTGGTGTCAGAGGTGGTGGTCAACTTTGAAGCGACGAATCGTCATCGATTCTCAACTAATTTTGACAAGTGAGACCATGTTATAGTAGCCATGCTCGCGATCTTTCGATTGGTGGTCGAATTGCATCCTAATTAAAAGTGTGCTAACCGTGACGGCGTTTTTCGAAAAAAGCAAAAACAAAATTTCTGGCAGAATCGTGTCCAAGCGTTCTCCTCAAGATTCCACCATGCCTAAGGCCTTGTGATGGCTGAGACGGACTCCAGATGTGCTAATGATGAGATGGCTGGGAGTAGAGAGGCTGGAGAGCAAGGAAGAGTAGTTGGTGGTGTAGTGGGAACTCACCAACCAACTACCCCTGTGCTACCCTCTTCCACTACACCATCTTCTATATCTGTGGATCCTATGCAAGTTTTATCTATTGAGAACTTCATGGGGGAGGATTATGAGCACTGGAGCTTCAGTATGAGGCTCATGTTTACCCAATACATGAAGGAAACTCCTCGATGCGCACTCACCAACACATGCTACAGGCATTGTGCTACTCGCGCGGCGATTGCACGACATCAAATTTGTTGATGGAGAGCCAATGCAGCCCGTGTTGGATGAGATGTGAGACATCCTCACAAAGCTCAAGAGTGGTGGCGTTGTCTACCCTGAGCTAGTTCAGTGCGTGAAGATAGTGATCCGACTTTCTGAGTCGTAGTATGCCCTAGCCATCAACCTCTCAACTCCCAGCAATCCCAATGGAGGGTGGATTATATTCGTCCACGAATCCTTGAAGAGGATTTGAGGTGCCTAAGTGTAGAGCACTCAGGGGATGGTGCTGGTTATGGAGTTGGAGGTGGGAAGAGCGGCTTCAAAAGGAAGTGGAAGGGCAAAAAGAATGAGAACTCCCAAGAGGAGAGTGGCGGAGGTGAGGGGGAGGTGTGCTTTTATTGCAAGAAGCGCGGCCATCGTTTGAAAAAATGCTACCAACGGCCCCAGGATTGGACCCCGCCTTCCTCAAGCAACCAACATGGTGGCAAGAAGAGTGGGGGAGTCATGGGAGCTAGTGGAGAGGAGAAGGATGATAAGAAAGGTGGCAAAACTGAAGAGCGGAAGGCCGGTTTCTTCTTCTTTGTGAAAGAAGGAATGAACGACCTCGCTATGGCTGCCAAGGTTCTCCTTTATCCCCTCACCCATTGGGTGATAGACTCTGGGAGCTCCTAGCACATGATTCCTCGTGCAGATCTTCTTGATAAGATCCAGCCCGCACCGATCTCTACAGTCACATCCGCGACTGGCACCAAGGCCAAAGTCATGGGCATGGGATGCGCCAAGTTCATGGGAGTGGATGGTGAGCTTGTGGGATTGAAGAACGTGCTATTGGTGCCGGACTTTTGTGGGAACCTGATCTCGACTGGCCGATTGGGAGACGCAGGTTTGAATACCAAGACCATTGGCTCGGAGCGCTATCGAGCATACAACGATACGCGCTTTATTTGGGACCTGCAGCGCAAGGGAGATGTCCACAAGTGCATGTGGCAGATCCCGGTTCTCCCTTGGCACAAATCGGGTAACACGACTGCCATGGCTTCAATGGAGGAGCAATATTGTGTGCAAAGTGAGGATGTGATTAGCGCAAGCGCAGCTGTGAAGACGTCAGCTACCTCGGGCCAAGCGGATTGGGAGACTTGGCATCGACGACTTGCACATGTGGCTCTCTCCACTTTGGAGTTGATGCACAAGGAGAAGTGCGTACACGGCCTGCAAGTGCATGGTGATGGCGCTGCCTTTGGCGGCTGCGATGCATGCATGCAGAACAAGTTCGTGCGATTCCCGTTCCCACGCGTGGAGGGATTAGCGAAGGCACCATTGGAGGTGGTGCACATGGACCTTGTAGGTCCTACGCGGACTAAGGGGACTTGGGGAGCATTGTACTTCCTCACCATGGTGGAAAAATGGAGTCGATTCACATGGGCTCGTCCCTTGTCCAAAAAGAGTGACGCCGCTGCAGCAATCAAAGAGGATTGGCTGCCGATCGTTGAGCGGCAGTCCATTAAACTGGTGAAGGTGCTGAGGAGTGATCGTTGGGGTTCAAATTCCACAAGTTTTAAAAGCTTGTGTTGGGGTTCAACGGGTGGCGAGGGGTGTGAGAGTGAAATTTGGCAGCCGAAACAATGCACACCCAGTGAGCGAGTTCGCGAATTGTGCTGCAAACTGCTGAGTCAAACAACAGAAAACCAGCCAATTGTAAATGTCGCACGTCTAGCCACACATCGCGACCCAAAAACACAAGCCCCTCAGAAGAGGGACAACACAACACTTGCATTTCTTGCTCTGTCACACACACAATAGATAACGGCCAGCATTTACGAAGGAATAGCAGTAGGCCCGCAAGTTCTAGAAGCCGCATGTAGCACCCAACTAGAATAGGCGTAATTTGCAAGTACATATGGCCCGTCGACCACGTATTGGTGCCCCACGAAGGTACACAAAAGCCGCCAACAACCTCCATTGGGGGCACGGTACATTCGACGAAAGTAGCAAAAGGCACCTTCCGGCAAACACAATGCCGGAACTCCATGGTTTAGGGCGTCATATGACTCATATACTCAGAGTATAAGTACGAAACCTTACATTCCCGCTGTAAATCACCACGCAATGTCAGCCATATTCGACGAGTGACACCACGGTTCGGAATTTCCAAACGCCACAATTCCCCCATCCACACGCCACCATCTTCACTTCCCCCTCCTGTCGCCTCCACATCCCCCTCCCGTTGCCTCCACTTCCCCCTCCCGTGGCCTCCACTTCCCCCTCCCGTCGCCTCAACTTCCCCCTCCCGTCGCCTCCGACCCCCCCCCCCGTCGCCTCCGCTTCCCCCCCCCCCCCCCCCCCCGTCACCTCCACTTCCCCCTCCCGTCGCCTTCACTTCCTGCTCAATCTCTTCACCCCATTTTCCCCCTTATCGCTCTCCTTCCCCCTTTGCTCACCATTCTTTTCCCGGCTCACTTCCATGCCCACTCTCTCCCCCCTTGCTCACTCTCATTATCCCCCCCTGCTCACTCTCTTTCCCCCTGCTCACTCTCCTTCCCCCTGCTCACTCTATCCCCCCTACATTCCCCTGCTCACTTCCTTGCCGCCCTGCTCACTATTTTCCCCTCTGCTCACTCCCACTCCCCCTAAGTGGTCTATTTCCCCTCCTTAACCCTTGCTTACTTGCTTTCCCCTATGCTCACCCCCTTCTCCACCCTGCCCACTCCCTTTCTCCCGTTGCTCACCCCCTTCTCCACCATGCTCACTCTCTTTCCCCCACTAAAACCCTCCCTTTCCCCCACTCCTACTCTCCCTTTCCCCCACTCCACCTCATCCTTCCCCGCCCTCCCCTTGCATTTCCACACTCCCGCCCGTCCAATCCCCCACTCACCCCCGTCCAATCCCCCACATCCCTGATCCAATCCCCCACATCCCCGGTTCAATCCCCCACTTCCCCCCCTCCAATCCCCCACTTCCCCCCCTCCAATCCCCCACTTTCCCCCCTCCAATCCCCCACTCTCCCCCCTCCAATCCCCCACTTCCCCCCCTCCAATCCCCCACTTCCCTTGTAGCTGCTTTCCCCACTCCAATAGGGCCACACAGCAATTCTGATCGTGCATGCCCTCCGCTCCCCTCTCTATCGTTGTGTGACTCATTTCATCGTCCCTTCCCCCTACTACCCCTGTCATCCTCCCTCCCCCCTGCTACCTATCTCATCCTCCCTTCCCCTTACTACCCTTGTCATCTTCCCTTCCCCCTACTACCCCTGTCATCCTCCATACCCCACCCCCACTCACCTCTCCTCCCTCCCTTTGCCCCCCACCAGACACCCGCCATAGACTATCAGGGGCCTGGCATTTGGCGAGGCCTCGTGAGGTTCCCTCCCCTCCCTCCCCACTCCCCTCTCCTCCCTCTGTTTGCCACACCCCCCACTCCATACCATCATGAATTGGCAGGAAGACAAAGGATATAGCTGCAAATGAGGCCAATCCAGTTGTGGGGCTTAGTGCCAAGCATGACAAGGCCACTCACGGTATATCCAAGCATATGCGCCCAGTCATATGCCTGGAACGCTGCGGATTGTCGGCACTGATGGGAGGCAAGACCGAGGCTACAACATCGGACGTGCTGTATTATTTCATGATGAATGCTCCAACCGCATATAAATGGCTGATGCGGGCAGCCAAAGCCGCAGGTACATGGGAGAAGCGATTGTGGGAGGGACAAGAGATTTACGGTTGATTGTTGCAAGGATAACATAGGGCCCAGACCATACACATATGCCTCTGCCCATTCGTGTTGTCTAGGTGTAAATGGGGGAGAAGCAGTAGCAACAGCGGAGTTGCACCTTGAGGCATACGACCGACAGTTCGACGCACGGGCGAACAACAGGCCTAATGAAGTGACAGGGATAATTGGGAAAGAGGACCTCCGAATTGAGGGTCTTGTCTACAACTTCCCGGCCTACAAAGAGGAAAAACGGGGCAAATTACGCCCAGTCTGTGGGGTTGGTTGGGGAGGGGCCCGAAAGGGCAAGGCCTATGAACGTGCGCACACACAAGGTGAGAAAGGATCAGAACGGATGAACGGATGTCGAGTCTGCATGTACGAACGCGACTGCATGTGCATGTATATTCTAATGTGTTTGGGGGATTACGTGTGCAGGGGTTGCCCAGTCATCCGAAACTGAAATAGAGGGCGTTGCACCCAGCCTGCAGCCAAAACATGCACGATTTCTAGATCCGAAAGCAGCCAAGAGCACGCTGCACTCCATGAAGCCGGAGTACCAGATCCTGCCCAAAGGTGAGAGTGCATAGATGGGGTTGTCGAATGAGTTGTAAAACCGGGGGTGGTATTGGTACCGCACTCCACATCCTCACCTGCACCACTTGCCGCACTCCACATCCTCACCTGCACCACTTGCCGCACTCCACATCCTCACCTGCACCACTTGCCGCACTCCACATCCCATGCGTGAGGAAGGGAGCGAGAGAGACCGGGTGGTGAAGGAAGGGAGCAGCAAGAAGAAAGGAGGGGGGAAGGAAGGGGGAAGGATGAGAGAAGGAGCAGGGAA